GTACCCCCCCCCCCCCCCCCCTCCCCCTGTACCCCCCCCCCCCCCCCCCTCAGCACGCAGTCTGCGGTGCTGTCCACAAGCCTCAGCTCCAAGGACACCGGGGTCACCTCCCTTGGCCGCAGCTGGTGGGGCGAATCCCGGCCTGCCTGCTTAAAGTGGCGTACGAGGATGCGGCAGTGACCGGCCGAGTCGGGCTGGGATCTCAGCTGGACGCCGTGGCGATGGGCTTCTTCAACTGCTGGATGCGGATCTCGCGCGTGCGAGACTCCTGCAGCAGGTCGTAGCAGGAGTTACACACCAGCACGGGGTCGTAGAGCTGCTGGTCTGGGATGGGCAGCTTCAGGTGGCAGCAGTCCTTGCAGAAGACATTGCCGCAGTTCCTGGGAATGACAGCATGAGTGTGAGGGCGGCAGGTTACCCAGACAGACAGGGACCCCCCTCAGGCAGCATCCCAGGAAAGAAGGGCACCGTCCCACATGCCTCCAGGATGGGCAGTCTGTGTGGACGCAGTCCTTGCGTGACCCACCTGCAGTGATGGCGTCGCTTGGCTATCCAGAACTCACAGTCGCAGTTAAAACAGTGAGAGGCCATGTGATCGGGGACCCAGCGAGTGACCTGCGGGGGAGGAGACACAAGAGGGCACAATCAGAGTGGCTGGTCGGTGTCACCATGGAAACATAGCAGCAGATGGAAGAGGAGGAGGTGAGAAACCTGGAAGAGGCAAGCAGGGACGCTGACCTCAGTGTCCTTTGGCTCGACACGGTCCCAGCTGCCCTCAGAGAAGCGGTCCTCGCTGTGGTCAGACAAGGAGCCCTCCTGATCACTGCTGTCAGACTCCCGCACACACGTCTGAAAGGGGAATGACAGAGGGGTTTAAAGCCCACAAAGCAAACCTGGGGGGCCAAGGGGGGGTAGGAGGAGCAGCAGCAGACTTACAATGTCGTCGTCTTCGTAGTCGACGTCAGGCTCTGACGGCGGCCTGCAGAACTGCTTGCTCTCCAGCCTCATCTGCAGTTGCTGGACCTGCCAGCGCAGAACCTCCACCTCCTGCTTGTAACCAGCCTCGATCTGCCGGAGCCGCTGCTGCACGGCATCCAGGGGCACCGGGAGTCCGTCATCGTCAAGGTAGGTGGGGCCAGGCAGTGGGGGTGGCGAGGCGGCGGCAGGCAGCGGCTGGCGAAGTGACGAACACAAGGTGGCATAGCCTGAGCTCTTGATGGCTGACAGCCAGCCAGAATGCACGGGGCTGCCGCTGGAGCGGATACCCTCCCGCCGGCAGCAGGCCCCACTGCCGGGGGTCACACCCTGGGCACGCAGCAGCCTCCCTGCCAGCCGTCGGCCCTGGAGGCCGGGCTGCAGGGCCCGGCAGAGGCCCGCCTCAGTGCCGCAGGCTGACTTGACCAGGCCCTGTACGCTCTCCCAGTGTGAACCCAGCAACGTGAAGTCGCTCAGCTGGCTCTGGGCGACTGGCCGCCGGGCAAGGCGGCTGCACTCGGGCTGGCCTCGGCCCAGGGACGCCGTCTTGCCATTGCTCTCCGCATCATCGCGCTCCTCGCGGGGGGTGCCTGTCCGCGCTTCGCCCTCTTCCGGGAGTCCCTTGGTGGGCTCAGGCGACACGACCAGGGGCTTCTCCAACCCGGGGCCGCTGTGCTGCAGCCGGCCACTGCGGGCACTGGGGGAGAGCATGCAGTCATGAGTCCGCGATTTGGCTTGGGTCCCCCAGGGTATCGCTGGGGAGACGGAGCTCTCCTCCAAGGGCACAGCCTGGTGGGGTGCTGGCAGGGGCTGCGTGGTGCACAGAGTCTCATCCTGCGTGGCACTGCAGTGCAATGTGGGCAAAGGCTGCGTGGTCAGACAGGCTTCCTCAACAGTGTTGCAGTTCTTGGTCAGACCTGATGACTCTGGTAGTGTGGGAGGGGCATGTGAGCCAGGTCCCAGCCCAGGCTCCTCTTTGGCCTCCTCCTCGGCCTCCTCCGAGTCTCTGGTGTGTTCGTCTGAGCTATTGGGGCTGTGAGCCACACTGACCCCCAAAGCAGACTTGGGCTCGAGGGCTGGCCGGGTGTCCGGACAATGCTTATTGAGGTTGGGGTCGCTGGAGGTGCGTGTCAAGGCCACGCCATTCTCACAGGCAGACACCAGGTTGTCCATGGAGCGCGTCTTGGGAAGCCTTCGGTGAAGTGAAGAGATTCAGTGTGTTAATGGCTACTCTTGTGAACAGAGAAATTCCATTTGTTACCACAAGAGGGCACCCTTGTTACAACCAGATTAAGTTTTGGGTAAAGAGAAACTATTTTGTGAATTAAAACAATATGTTGAAAGTCTTAATCCTTTAGCTAAAATGTATACATGATTTTTCTGAAATTTGCACAAAATAACTTTTTTATATCAAAGTGAGCATTTAGCATTAATGTATGAGGGGTGCTGCTGATTGGCTGCCCAGCTGACCTATCGAGCGAGCGGGAGGTGAACTCCTCCCCCTGGGCAGATGGGGACAGGTAGAGCTCCATGGAGTCCTCAGCTGCAGTGCAGGGGGAAGTGGTGGGTAGGTACACAGCTGTCCACAACTGTAGGGCCCGGGTGTGGCACACCGGCTGAAGCACCTGAGAGAACGGGCATCCAAGTGGTCAGCCACAGTGGGTCCTTAACACTCAGAAGACATTCAGCCTTAAGGGGGGGGGGCAAGCTACACATACAGGGATAAGTAACCAGCAGCAGATGGGAAGCGTGTGGGCATTTATACTACGATGACATCCAGTCTCCTTTTTATTTCCAAGAATCTTGGGGGCAATTTCGCTCCTTGATAACGGTTTTTCAGGGGCATTCGGAGGTTTCTTGGGACATTTTTGCCCTCTGGTGCATTTTTCAGGGAGCTAAAAGCCTCATGGCGATGAGACTTGTACTGCTGAGGGCGGGATTTGAACCGGCAACTTTCTGATCACAGACACTGAAGCCTAACCTGTAGCGTTTCTTACATGCTGGGCTGCCCAATACTGAGCCTAAACTCTTACCAGCCTGTAGAGTTTAGGTGCAGCCCTAATTTAACATGCCTGATACAGATAATCAGGCCCTTCAGTGACTACGCTCTGCTGAGTGGCTGATAACCAGGATTAAGCAGCCCTGTCTGTCAGAATACGGCTTTCTGCAGATGATGACTCGTCCGAGGAGTAAGAGTAAGGAAGCTAACAGGAAACAACAGGCCATGTTAGCATCTTTGCAGCTGGGTGTCTTGGTCACACCGTGACTGCATCTGCAAGATCTTTTACCTGATATCATGACAGAACCACAAGCGGCAGGAAAAACAGCCCCAAAGGGATTCAGGGGGGCAGTGCCGGCCAGCTCACCGTGTCGTGGCTGGGGATATAAAGGAAGTTCTGGAAGTTCTTGTTGCCGGAGCGCAGCAGCGACCACACGGAGCAGGTGCGGTTGGAGATGTTCCGGAGCTCCCTCTCCCGCCCGTTGTTACACAGGAAGGTGCCGTAGAGGCAGGAGTATGTGTGCTGCACCAGCTTCACCTGCAGCCAGGAGGATGGAGACCAGCACAGTGCAGTGAGGCTTCAGTGCACCATCAGTCAGTCACACACAACACACATTTAGACTAACAAAAACATTTAGACAGTAGGCATTTACTCAATGTGGCATCTACACAAGAACATTGGCGGACACTGTCGCATACAAACAGAATGCCATTCATAAGCCAAACTTTGGTTGAATTTCCATTTTGTTTCAATGGCTTGTCAAGGCGACCAGGAGCAACTGAAGGCCTGTAGCATATCATGAATGAGCTGCCAAGACAAGGCCACAGAAGGACTGCCTCTGTTAGTCAACACAGTCGATGATGTCGACGCTGAAAATGCGTCAACACCAATATTTTACATCGACACATTTTAAAAAATCATTTTAATGAAATGACCATTATGATTTCTAAAACGCTTCAGTTCATTATAACAAATGTTTTCCTTTTATATCACTATGTAATTATGGGAGTAGTTTAAATTATCACAAAATAAAAGTGGTTTTACACTGTGCAAAGTTCGAAACACTACAGGGACACTAGCCCTACGCACGAGGGCCTGAAGAGAAAACGCACAGATGCTATTCTGGACTGCCAGAATAAGCATAACAACCAGTGCCGTCTATTCATGCTCATTAAATTAGCATTAGTACGGAGAGCTTTTAAATATGCTGTGTCCTTGCTGCTGCTAAATATGCTCATTATTAAAGCCATGAGGTTGTGTGCTCGTGCGCACTGAGCCTATTAGGACTTGCTAAGTCTATGTTCACCACCACTTCAGTGCTTATCGCTGCCACGATTTACCAAAACAACAGCATGGTGTGTTGCGCTAATCGAGTGCAAGAAGCATAAGGACACTGCGAATTTAAGCATATTACCAACTTCTGGGTGTTGCAAAATTGCATATCATTAATATTTTAGGCATACTACTAATTTGCTCATGGAAATGTGGGCGAAAATAATATCCATGTAGTGCTGAAAAGCCTGTGTCCGTTATGTAAAGCCGTGCGATAACAGTTTGTTGTCAAAAAAATTTGCATAAACTAAATCATTTAGATTAATTGACCAATTGGTAAAATAGTTGATAGATTAATCCATAGAAAAATAGTTGCTTTTGGGACCCCATTGGCCACAGCACCCAGGAGCAATACAAAACCGCTGTAGAGAGCTCTCAATGTAAAAGGTCTTTCTCCATCTAGTAAAGGTGGTTATCTGTAAGCCCACGGGTGGTGCTGATGCGGCACTGACCAGGAAGGCCTCGTTGAACTCGAAGAGGCAGGGGAACTGCTTGAGGAGCTGGTGCACGCAGTCCAGCCACTGCAGGAAGACGGGGCACTGCTCACTGGCGTCGTCTGCGTTCTCATGGTGGCCGCAGCGATCGCCGAACTTGTGGCCAAAGTCGAGCCACTCGGTCTCCACCAGTACCTGGAAGCCCTGCGAGGGGGTTGGGAAGATGGGTTAACCACACTAATCACGTGACCCAACGCCCGGTACTCTTATATGAGGTGGTTTATTGTTGATTATAAAACTCAGATGCTGGGCCCAGGTTCTAGCGTCCAGCAAGGCTGTACCTCTAGGGTTCTGTAGTAGGGGTCCAGCAGGACCTTGGCCAGGGCCACTATCTGAGGGGTGCGGTCCCAGCCGTCAGAACAATGCACCAGAACGGGACGACCCTCCCTCTCAACTGCAGAGCACACCAGAGTGGCCGCCTTCAGCATGACGGACAGGTGCTGCAGCCAGCGGGTGCTCTCCAATGCAGACAGCCAGCTGGGGGCAAACCAGTGAAGAATTACTGGTGCTGACATTTCAGAGACACTCATCTTCATAAAAGTGCAAAGGAGCTCAGTCCCATTAAGGGTTACATGGCAGGTCAATTGCTTCAAGGGTGCTTAAATCTTAAACCCGGGTCTAAAACGTGGTTTATTATATTAAAAAACATTGTGAAATCTATGCCTGATCCTGGCCTGAGACCCACCCACACACAATGTTCAAGGATAATGTGCCAGAAAGCTGCCCGCAGCCCAGCCCGAGGGAGAAGGTCCTGCGCAGACACTTACTTGCCCGGGTCAGGGATCTGGGTACAGACAGCCCGCAGGGACTGGAAGCTGTTCCGGATGGAGTGGATGTTGGCCATACCCATGAACATCACCTCACAGTTGGGGTAATACTCTGTGTAGGCATGCACAGACACACAGTCAGAACGTGAGCTCCAGCCAATGCCCCCCCCCCCCCTTCCCCTTCCCCTGGGAACTAACCTTCACACTCACAGCCCCCGCCCTTGGCCCGGTTTGCCACCGCAGCTGTGTAGGACCGCGCGTCCAGGATCAGGAGTTTCTGAGGCACGGTGGAGGCATCGGGACCAGGGCAGGCAGTCAGTGATGAGTCTGGGTGGGGGGAGGGAAGAACACTGAGCTGGGGTTCAACTCCTCCCCCGCAGGACAGGAAGTCTCCAGCGGCGGCTATAGGCTGGTGTGGAACCGACATCCGGGTCGCACGGAGGTGATGCGTTATGGCCGGTGGCCAAAGGGGGCGCTCACCACTACATACTGCCAGGCCAGTGGCCCCCCGGCTGTAGGACAGCACTGAGGCAGCACTCTGGCCCCACCTCTGCACCCCCCACCAGTTCAGGGCTCCCTTCCCTCCAGTCCGCTAACGTAAGAGGCTTTACTCAGAGACGCCATTTGAGGAACCAGGTAGTAACAGGAGTGATGACCTTACAGAATGTCCCCAGGAGTCCTTAGGCAAAGACAGCACACTGCCGGACTGCAGGCTCACCAAAGTCGCTGTCACAGGTGTCCCCGCTCTCTGTGCGGGGCCGGCTGGGGGGGCCACCGGCTGTGCGGGAGCTGGGATTCAGGTGGCAGGCCTTGGCGATGGAGGTGACAAGGTATTCGTCCTCGGTGTTTCGCCAGCCCCACCAGCTGATCTCTGGCTGGCTGCAGCGTGCGATGACCGCCCCGTTACGCTGGTGCCTGCCGGGCGGGCGGAACATCCCTTAGCGAGGGAGCACCCGTGTGGTACACTGGCACGCCATCCAGGAACCGGCCTGTACCATCCCCACACCCGCAGACACGGCCTCACCTGTACACCACGACGGGGATCCGCTTCCAGGATCTGAATGAGGCAACGCTGTCCAGCTCCTTGTCCGTGATCCACACTGGAACCAGGAGCTTCTGAGGGTAGCTGGAGCACAGCCTTCAGGGACAAGGCAAAGAAGAGGTTCAGCGGGTCTCAACCATGTCTGGGTAACTGGGGACTCTGATTAACGAGCTGGTCACATTCCCAGTGTCAGACCCATCCATACATGATGATGATCTGATCACAGGTCATGGAATTCTTCCATGAATATTGTCACCCAACATTTACCTCCACATGAGGAAACGATAAAAAACAACCTACCAGATTTATTGAAAATAAAAAAGATTAATATAATAAACAATAAAGCTTAAGACAGGTTTCAGATGGTTTTAATTTGCTTGCGCACATCTGCAAAAATAGGCTTCATATATATAGATGCTTTCTGCCTGCCCAGGGACCCTGTAACCATGATGAATTGGCTGGAGGATGGGGGTGGGGAAGAGGCCTAAATATATCACAGATGTGATGGACACTAAAAGCTCCTGGAAGATTTACCTTTGGCAGGGGGAAATGAGAGGAGCTCCTGATCAAGATTCAGTGGTAGCAAAAAGACAGAATCGATACCCCCCCCAACTGCACGCTGCACATGAGGATGCACCCTCCCAACACACATCAGGATCAGGGGAGATTCCCTGATGCAAACACACATCCGTGGTGAAGTGATGAGATGGGCCATCTGAGGGGGTGGGCTAATGTACAATCTCCCCCAGTAATGCGTCTCCTTCCAGCGGTCTCTGAGGCTTTGGTCCCACTCTCCTGCTCTAATTCTGCATCGGGATGTTCTCCCAGGGAGGGGGTCTGTCTTTGGATTGGCTTTAATGATTCTCGAGCTGCTGTGGTAACAATCAGCTTTGCGCAGTAGCTAGAAGGCGGCCCTTCAAGCAGGAGCAGACAGGTGGTGCGCTTCCTCTTCCCACGACCCAGTCTCACTTTCCGGGCTCCACACTTCCTCTTCCCATGACCCAGTCTCACTTCCTGGGCTCCACACTTCCTCTTCCCACGACCCAGTCTCACTTCCTGGGCTCCGCAGTTCCGCTTTGATATAACAGGAGTCGACAGAGGAAGAAGAATACCAGCTCAGGTGTGATACTGAGACCTACTTGTAGTTGGCGTTGATGTCCGATACCCTCCAGGCGTTCTGCATGTCGTAGCCCATCCGCAGCACCTCCACCTCCATCCTCTGACGCACATGATCACCTGGGGGAGGCACCAAAGGACAGATCAGGAATATAGCCGACGCCCACTGACCACACTCATTAACGTGTCTGTCTGTTAGGACACTCAACAGTCTTATTCAATTACCCATCAAAGCCGTTATCATATATATCAGTGTCAATGCTTCATAAAATAAACAAAGGCTTTGTTAAAAGCCTTTACAGGTTGATGTCTAGCTATTTGATATTAAGCGACCAGTATTTTGTTTTTTTCCAGTGGTCGAAGTGCCATTAAAAACAAATGTGTATCATTGTGACAGACTCATCACCACTTTGTTATTTTCTTAAAACACCATCACATTGAACCATATCACTGACATTCAGAGATTCATAACACTGTCAGAAGAGACAAACAAAACGATCAACGCCAACCAAAAGTAATCTGAAAAATGTAACGATTATTTTGGACATGTCTACCACCGGGAACAATTCACTCTCTTACAGATTATAGGCCGTCGCATTAGCGGGCATTAGAATAGTCATGTTCCAGCAAAGTCTCTGGCTACAATTTCACATAAAACAGCAACGAATTAAACGCTGAAGTTTTCAGTGTAATAAACGGCATGTTAAAATGTTTTATTTTGCCGGCATCCTTGGAAAAAGAAAAAAAAGTATAAACTGCAAAAAATAATGTTTGCCAAAAGATTCAATTTCAGAATCGCAGCAGAATGACATTTAGGTTTGCCGATGTGAGATGCAGCTGGCAGCATCACAGCAGGACATACAGGACGAGCGCTCGGCGCCCCCACCTGGCCGGCACAGGTGCACGTGCTGCTCCTCGTCGTCTGCGCTTCCCCCCAGGCACCAGGCGTGGTACGCCAGGGCAAACAAGTCCTCCAGGCGGGACGGGTGGGCTATGGCCCGAGTCAGCCGCTTGAGCCACTCCTGGCACTGCTTGAAGGTGGAGAAATGGCATCTGAAAGGCAAACGGACATGGAGGCGTGATGATCATCAGGAGGTGGGGGTTGGGGGGGGGTATTGGGGGCCGGCTTTAGGCCAGCTGGAGAGGCTACAGATAACTCTAGGTGGTAATGAAACTGGCGAGACTGGGCTATTCTGAACAACCAAGATGGTTAATGGAATCTTTACATTAATAAAGATGGCTGGGCACTTGTTTGAGAAGCCCTGATTCACAGTTTTGGCAAATCGTGCAGTTTGAAATTCGGGGGGCATGGATGGCTCTAGGGCTGGCGCTGCGTGCAATCGATCAAAAATACTCAATGCAGTTTGGTCAACTTTCTAAGTCATAAATGCTGAATTGCGCTTGCAGATTTCAAAAAGACTTCTCCTCCACAATCTTTACTCCAGCAAATCCCTTATGGATCTGCCACATTGAGCAAGGAAGGAGCCTCTGAACATGTCTCATACCGACTGTGAGATCCCGGGCATAAAATCTTCAAAGACCAAGGTAGCTTTCAACCAAAGCTGGGGTGGGGGACATGCAATGATGAAAGTGCCATTCCAGGGAAGTAGGTCACAGCTCCCAGGCTACACCTAGTGGAGTCTGCATCTCCCATGCTCAGCCGCAGGCCACCCGTGTGTATCATGTAATAGGACTTGTGAGGACTCACTGTGACTGACCTTCTTAAGCAGAGGCACAAGGCGGCGAGTCATTAATATGTTATGGCCACAGCGTGGGTATTTTTGCCATTGTTACCTGACCACCTTGGAGTCCTTGCAGATGATGTGCAGCTGGAACATGTCCCTGCTCTCCGCCGTCTCGATGAGCCGCAGCGGCACCTGCGAGGGCGGGAAGGGCCAGATGTCATGTGGCGGGAACGGCAACCGCGGGGTGTTGGGAGGACACGGCCGCCACCGGGGCCTGAGAGCAGCGCATGCTCGAGATGCCACACACAGCAGCCCAGTTAAAGAGGTAATCAAACGTGTGCTCATGCAGGAGCTTCCCGGATAATGTGGAACACAGCGACGTCACACCGCTAAATGCAGAACTGTCCCAGCGTATCCGGTCGACTCGGGCGTGCCCGCTGCAACCAACATCATCCAAACTGGAGCTTTTCCACAATAAGCTGAGAACAGTGTGTACCAGTGGCAGTTCTTAAGCGAACACGTGAAGCAGAAAAGTACAGCTATTCAGCTAAATGTTTGACGTAGTATTGCACAGAACAGCACCACCATTAGATTGGTAAAAGAAACGTCAGTGAAGCAAAACATTTCCTGCTTCACTAAACACAGAGAATTTAATATCACCTTCTATTTAATATTTGATTACATACATTTTAACCCCAACCAGTGAAGCTCTCTTCATCTAACTTTTCCAATGATGTAGACATTAACCATTCAGCAAGTCAAGGAATTGGCATATCCCTTCACATTCATACTAATTTCTAAAACAGTACTGTACACTTTGTATATCAAATTACTTTGTCATTTCCTACCTAGACTTTTTCATATAATATACAAACCATCTAAGTTATTCCCCTGTATGTATAAAGTTAATACTCGATGCAGTAGGAGCACACTATGTTTTGGACCCATTACTAAAAATGCAGAATTATTGGCAATGAAAAGTTTAAATGATGAGAGAAACTCGAGATTCCATGGTCACAAAGACAGCTAACATGTGAATGAGGTAAAGGAGCACGTGTACTCATACCAAGACGTAATATGAATGATATAGTATGCATTTACACTAACAAGTATTATGTATCATTAGTATTTATGTATTACATCATTTTGCGTCGTCCATTTTCAGCATTGTTTTTCGTTTTGCGTTATATCTGTGAATTTCTGTGATTTTTCGGCAAGCTCCAAAACTAGACCAACTTTAGGGAACAAAATGAGACTGAAAGCTCTATGGATGTGCTTTCATGGCACGATATTCTGGCTTTCGTTGGTGTGTTTGTGTTGCGTATGTAATGCAGAGCAGTAATGTAAAGCTATGTAGCCAACTCTTATTTTAATCAAGTAATGGCATTCATGTTACTTTTATTTCAGAAAATGGTGCAACTGTTCAAAACAATTTTTGTCAGCATCACTTTCTAAGCATCAGCTCACCAGGATAAGTTTAGTACAGCGTAATAAATATTACTAAAATATAGACTAATAAGGAGGCTTTTGAAAAGGACTCACGAATATCAAGTGCTTTCTGACAGAAGGCACAGGCCGTAAACAAACGTGACCAGGAGTGTGTCCCCTGCACATCAGACATGCCACCTGGAGAGTAACGTCACCACCACGGGAACCTAGGTGCTGGCCTGTCATTCTGGGTGCCGGTTTTGGGAGCATGGAGTTAGCAGTGAAATCATAGCGTGGGGCTAAGGCTCAGTTAAATACTCAAATACAAGGGCTGCTGCAGCACAAGGCGGCATACAGTAAGCGATGTTACACTGGGGCTGCGGAGGCCAAGTCACAAGGACCTATCAAAGGGATGGGTGAGAACGGGGGCGCTCTCAGTGACAGATAAAAGCTGTGAGACTGGACAAAGCAAGAGGGGGTGCAGAGTACTCACTGAAATCTCATCGTCCACACCTGGCGTGGTCTACAACACAATGACACAGGGGCGCGTGGGAGACAGGAAACACAGCACAGGGGATGGAAAAAAGGATAAACAAAATAATGTTATGTGAGAAAAGACCAGACGAAGGGTAATGGGGGAATAAAGGTGAAACTAAAAGTTAAACAGAATGTAATGATTTAGCAGCGAATAGAACAAAAAAAAAAAAACAAAAAGCCAGCTTGATTAATAAAAAACAAATGAATAGCACAGGGTGGGAGGGAACAAGGAGCTGATTCAGCGGACGGCACGTCAGCAAGATGGATGAGAGATACTTTTTCCCAAGCTTGGTATAAGGCCTTGTTACAGCTTCAGGTGAAACTTTGATGACTCGATATACAGTAGTGCAAGCAGCTTTCAGTTTGAAAAGGACGACTCATTCTTGCTGAAGGAGTGCTTTTACCATGCATTTATATTTGGGCTTGGTATTCACTGCTTAGTTATGTTTCACTACTCGCTCGTTAAGTCATGATGTTTGAAACACATGACAAAACTTTTTCTGGGGCCAAGCCGGGTAAAGGGCCAATATGCCGCAGTGTTGCATGCCTCATGAGAAAGAAAGAAAAAAGAATTATCCATCGACTGCTTTCCAATCAATGACAAAAAGAAGAGGAGGTGCTGTGTAAATTAAACTATTTTCCATATTTAGTATGTAGTATTATGAGTGTATAGTATTATTTAGTACAAACCTCTGTGTTGGGTTCACAGTTTGGTGCAATTTTGGTAGAGCAGGGAAAACAAAAAATTGAGATTATTATTATTATTAAAACCACAAACATAATTAGGAAAAGCTGTAAACCAAAGACAATGTGTCTCCTATCTACAGTTGAATTTGCTTAAATGCCATGGAGAGACTAATTTGCAGCAGATATTTCTGCCTTGATCCAGTAGTACAACACACCGATGTTGGCATCTCAAATGAGCTGTACGTTGTATGTAGTACTGTATGTTGGATGTGTTTTCAGCAACATATTCGAGTTCAGTATAACAGAGTCGATTGGACAGTCTTGGTTTTATCAACTGCTCTCTCTCCAGTGTTGGTGTAATTAATTGGGAATCCAAAATGTTACCAAACCACTGGTTATGAATGTCTGTAATCAGTACTAGCTGTAACAAACAAATAGCCACAAACATTTCCACGCTGAATGTCTACTTGAGAATTTAGGTTCTGCCCATGTCAGGAAATGAGTTTATTAGTTTCATTGTTTGTACCGAACCAAAAATGATGTGCTGAACGTGTACCGATGTACCAGTAATTCCTTCCGGGAGGATAGCTACACTCATCAAGGATTTTCGCCCGCTTTTCACCTTTAAATATGCTGAAGGAAGTTACTGGGAACACCATTGTGCTTTGATTGGACTATTAGGCCCCGTTGTTAAGACAGGTTTTTACATCATGCCATGTGTCAGATTTAACAAGCAAATAAGTCAGGGCTTCCAAATCCCGGGTCCATGGTCAGTATTCCAAGGGCTGCAGATTGTTGGGGGTTGTGTCAAGAGGTTGGTTATTTTCCAAAAATTAACTATAAATTTTCATTTTTTATAACCCCTCGTGGTTGCATCTAGTGCGCATCAAAAAGGAAGACTGCAATATTCTAACCACAGAGGTGTGATTACAGCCCTCAAGTCACCTATCAGACAGGGAAGAGGGGGAAGGTGAAAGATAAAATAAATTTCAATACTCTGACACCATTAGAATCCCAAACTTCACATTCCAGCCTTGCAACGACATGCCTACGCGCCTACGCTTTGCCCATATGAAAGACCAAAACGCTGGAAAACCTCCAGAGCATGTGGGGAGTGGTGTCAAGGATCCTTCTAGAAGCCAGCAGACTACAGGAATGACGAATATCCTCTTATGGTAGGAGCCATGGCACATAAGAGGAACGACTGCGCTCAGCGCTACAGATTAATGACATACTACTCTAAATATCCGAGCCGAGCTTGGACAGCTACCGGGAGAGCAGTTAGACACGTTAGCACTAATATTGTGTGTAAAGATGCATCACATGACTCAACATCTGAGATGAGCTGGGACAGCTACCAGGAGAGCAGTTAAACAGACTAGCACTAACTGGTTGTAAACACGTGTCACATGACATTCATATAATTTTAAGTGAAATTCTTAGGAGAAGGTGGAATCTGGAGCAGGGATAGAAGACAGAGGAGCTCATTTGTCTGCGATGAGCTTGACAGCTGTCTCCAGCAGCCTACTGCCCCTGCACAGAAGCCGATGAATGAAAGAAGGAACGGAAGCTCAGAGACACAGCAGACGGAGGTGCTCAGTGTGACACAGGGAACCCTATTGACTGCCAGGTCATGGAGTCTGGGACTGGGGCAGTTCTGAGCTTCAGGCGAACGAGGGATTGCCCCAGAATGGGGGAATACTCACATTGATGATCGAATCCTTGAACTTGATATGAAGTCTGTAATTGGACATGGCGATGATAGCATCAACGGCTCGCCCTAGATACTCCACCCCTTCCCCCTGGAGAACTGGGAATGGCACCTGGGGGAGAGACAGACAGGGAGAGAGAATGGGAGACTCTCAGGTGCTTGAGATGGTGTTATAATAATAAATAATAATAACAATAATAATAATAATAATGTTACATTTATATAGCACCTTTCACAAACCCAAGGTCACTCATGTAAGTGGAGCAAACCCAAAAATAGACCATACAGGAGAGATACACTTTATTCATCCCCATGGGGAAATTGTCTTTTTTCATGTCCCATCCTGCTCTCCATGAGAGACAGACAGACAAACAGGTGAGAATAAAGCTTAAAATAAACTCCATGATTACACTATATCACTAAACCTCAGGGCATCATGTGACCAACTGTGAACCTCATTTGTGTCGGTCAGTGGTGTTGAAAGTACACACCAGTACACAGATCGTTCACTATAAAGGTTTAACTGGAGACACGGCTGAGGATGACTACCCTCAGGCACCTTCCCATCGGGGCAGTGTCGCATTAATTGCAGCATCATTAATTCTGAAAGTGAACCGTTTGAATCAATAAAGTTGCATACCGACAACGATGCATCACTGCAGGGAAAAACCACTGACTTAGAGAGCCTTGCCTTTAAGGCAGAGATTGAAGCATCTCAGAACTGTGCCCTGGTCCACCTGGAAGGCAGGGGTGTGGGGGAGGTGCTGGCATGATGCAGATCACGAGAGGGGCCAGAAGCCTTTGCCAGGCGTGAGCCACCCCCTACAGATCCAGCAGCCACAGTATACACACGCTGACCTGGTATCAGCATAACTGAGGGCAAGCTCACCTCCCTCAGGGGGGTGCCCCAGCCCAGCCAGCGACCCACAGGACGCTCCGTCACGATTGAGCCCGGCACACGCAGGCAGGCATACAGATCAAAGGGGTGACTAATGAATTCTATTGAGCGTCGTGACTGAGGGCTGCGGCAGTTGGTGTGGCCAAGGCAGGCTGCACACCGAGGATGCGTGACACACACACCGAGGATGCGTGACAGACAGACAGACAGACAGACAGACACCGAGGACGCGTGACAGAGAGAGAGAGAGACAGACAGACAGACAGACAGACAGACAGACAGACAGATAGACAGACAGATAGACAGACAGATAGACAGACAGACACACACCGAGGACGCGTGACAGACAGACAGGCAGACAGGCAGACACCGAGGACGCGTGACAGACAGACAGGCAGACAGGCAGACACCGAGGACGCGTGACAGACAG